TGAGAGACTTCTTGATTTTAAGCAGAAGTGTGTGGTCTCTTGCTGTATCATCCGTGATGCTAAACGCACATGGTGGCGAGATTATGTTTCCACTATTACCTCTGCTTTCTCTATGAGTGCAATCTGGAAAAAAGTACGGAAACCGAGCGGTATATGCTCTCCTGGGCCGGCTCCTGTTCTGCAGGTTTCCGGTGTTGATATAGCAAACCCTCTCGACGTTGCCATTGAAATTGGTAATCATCTTGTCTGTATTTCTCAGGGGCTCCATCTATGCCCCTCGTTTCTTTCCTCAGAATCTGTCAGAGTTAGCACCCTTAGACTTTCTCTCAAAGAAGAATCTTATAAAGTGCCTTTTACACTTCAGTAACTGGAGGCGGCATTCTCAGCTTGCCAATCACCGGCAGCTCGGCTTGACGACATTCATATTCGGATGTTACAACATTTACATCAATCAGCCCTTGCAGTCCTCTTACAACTTTTCAATCTTATTTAGTCAGAAGGAGTTCTTCCCCAGCTGTGGAAATCTGCCATTTTTCTCCCTTTCCGCAAACCGGGTACTATGGGACATGATGCCTCCCACTATCGTCCCACTGCTCTTACCAGTGCAGTTTGCAAAGTGATGGAATGTCTGGTAAATCGACGTTTAATGTGGTATTTAGAGACACACAACAGTCTCTCCACTAGTCAATATGGCTTTCTTAAAAGCCATTCTACCATAGACCCTTTACCACGCTTTGATACGTATGTTCGTAATGCCTTTGCAAATAGCCACTCGGTTGCCATATTTTTTGACCTGGAGAAGGCATATGACAACTTGGAGGTATAATATTTTGGCTCAAGCCCACTCCTTAGGCCTCCGAGGCAATCTATCATCCTTCCTTAAGAACTTCTTAACTGACAGACATTTCCGTGCTGGGGTTAATATGTTCTCCCCGGATTTTGTCCAAGCTCAAGGTGTCCCCTAGGGATGTGTTCTGAGCACAACACTTTTTCTCCTTGCTATAAATGATTTGGCCTCTCTTCTTCCATCCAATATTTGGTCATCACTATGTTGATGACTTCGCTATTGCTTGTGCAGGCGCTGTCACCTCATTACAGCTTCTCTTCAGCATGCAGTCAACCATGTTTCTAATTGGGCCACCACGTATGGGTTTAAATTTCCCAGTACTAAAACTCGCCAAATTACTTTCACTAGACACACTGTCATCTCCGATCATCCTTTGTACCTCTATGGCTCCCATATCCCTGAACGTGATACGGTCAGGTTTCTAGGCCTTCTCTTTGACCGTAGGCTATCCTGGAAACCTCATATTACCTCTCTGAAGGCAACTTGTCACAGCCGGCTGAACCTTAAAACTTTTGCTCATCTTTCATGGGGAGCTGATCGTCGAACTCTCCTTTGCCTACATTCCACCCTCATTTTATCGAAAGTCGATTATGGTGACCAGATCTAATCAGCGGCCTCTCCTGCTACTCACTCTAGCCTTAATCCCATCCATCACTAGGGATTACATTTATGCCTTGGTGCTTTTTGCTCTTCCCCTGTTCAGAGCCTCTATGCAAAAGCGAATATTCCATCCTTGTCCGATCGCTGTGATGCCCAGTGTCTTTGCTACTATGTTCGTTCTCATGATCTCCGCAATCCTTCCATATATAGAATAGTCACCGATGTTAGTAGACATTATTTGTTCATCGCCCCTGTTTGCTCCGTCCCTTTTCTCTTCGCCCACATTTGCTAGTCTTCCCTTCAGTTACCACCTTTCTATGTTCATGTAGCATCTCACTTTTCCCTAGCCCCCTGGGAAGTTCCAGCTGTTCGAATCTGTTCTTTCTCACTCCCTTGCACAAAAACCCAACTGCCTATGGTAGCTTCCCGCTCTCTTCCTTGACCACTTCTGCTCTCATTCTCATGCTGTTGCTGAGTACACAGATGGCTCTAAGTCTTCTGACAGTGTTGGATTTGCAGCAGTTTCTGGACGGTGTCATGCGAGGGCATTTACTATCCTCAGCTAGCATTTTTACTGCTGAATTATATGCCATTCTTGCAGCACTTATCCATATTGCATCTGTGCCTGTGTCATCATTTGTGGTTGTTTCAAACTCCCTTATAGCTTTACAGGCTATACGAAAATTTGATATACCTCATCTCCTAGTTCTCCGTATCCAACTTTGGTTACGCCATATCTTTACCAAGCATAAAGATACTGTTTTTTGTTGAGTCCCTAGTCATGTTGACGTACAGGGTAATGAACAGGCAGACACTGCTGCGCAGTCAGCAGTACATGACCTTCCAGTTTCATATAGAGGTGTTCCATTCACGAGCTATTTTGCTGTAATAGCTACCCACTTTCATGCCTGTTGGCAACAATGTTGGTCTGATCTGCTCAATAACAAACTTCATTCTATTAAACCGAGTATAGGTTACTGGCTGTCTTGTCATCAGTGTCGAGGTTGGGAGACTACTCTCTCCCGTTTTCGCATTGGCCACACTCGTCTTACTCATTGGTATCTCATGGAGAGGCGCCCTGTTGCTCTGAGAATTGTCAGGTTCCAGTATCTGTTAGCCACATTCTGTTAGACTGCCCACTATCAACGAGCATGCAGAATTTACCTCCGTCGTCGTCTCCGCTCTACTACTCTCTATATCTTCCCTTCTTGCTGATGGACCCTCCTTTAATCCGGACTCTCTCATTGACAACTAATTTACTACACAAACGACGACGACGACGACGACGACGACGACGACGACGACGACGACGACGACGACGACGACGACGACGATACCTTCAGCACTTCCCTCAGCCTTTTCTACCTCAATCTCTTGCTACCCTCTACCCCTGCACTATCCACTGCCTCTCTGTTCTCCATACCTTACTAATCATCCCTCTCCCTTTCACCACCCGATACCCTTGCTTCCTTCCCTGCCCTGCAGCACTGTATAGCCCTTGTGGTTTAGCGCTTCTTTTTTTTATTACAATAGTAATTCTCCATGTGGTGACCTGGCAGTGGCTCCCCATAGGGTTGGAAGGGAAGTGTCATCAAGCTTTTATGGAGGCGGTGGGTGGCAGGTGATGATCGGCAGCAACATCCTCAGGTTCTTAACTACAAGGTACACAAGGCGTGCTGCCCTGTCCTCCTGGGTCTGTCCGACAGTCTGTTGTGATAGGAGGCAGTCGAGTAAGGGCGTCGTGGCGGGACAGTCCAGCAGGTAGTGTACAAGTGGGGACTCGGCCATCTGCTGCTCACAGTAGGCGCACCGCCCCTTTCTTTGTTGCTCGACGATATGCGTTGGGGTCAAGAATCCAAGTCGTAGACGGTGAACGGCCACATGTTGCTCCCTAGTCCGTGTATGCAATGAGGGGAGAGGGAGGTATTGGTTCAGTTCCTTACATCACGAGCCCTTCACTAGCCTCAAGAAAGTCTTCCAGTGGGCAGTAGAAAACAAGTGTTCAGTGGTGACAAATTCCAACGGTTAGTGAATGGAACTAATGAAATCAAATAGAACACCGTCAACAAAACAGAGGACATTATTTCTCTCGTTTCCAAAGTTCTTACTAAACCTTGAAAATAAGAAATAATGCAAATAATAACACTAATCAAATCTCTAGTGTTGATGGCGCCATCCAAGGCAGAAGAGAGATCAGAGCTGGAACATATGCAGAGAAAATTTAGGACCTGAGAGCTAATAAAGCATTTAAAGTACTGGGAATTTCTCAAAAAAACTTAATATGTACTCTCTTGAGTGGAGGAGAGATGTGATTTATTCGTGAAAAATATACGGGGGTCTAGTGTTAAAAATACACTCTAGCATAACAATGTTCTGAAGTGAGCGACAGGAGAAGAAATGTCAAATATACTAAGTGAAAAGCAAGGGAACCATGGCAACAATAAGAGAACACTATCAACATCCATAATAATAATAATAATAATCTTTATTTACTACAAGTACATGTACATGGTATACAGTCCTAGCTGACAACAATGAATACCCAAAATTTTACTAACTAATAGAAAGCCACTATATTTAGTGTTGAGGCATCTCAGGCAAATAGGATCAGTGTCGCCAGGAGAATTGCGACCCGACTAACAGTCGACTAAAAAGTTACCCATATTATACTGATGGGGAGACATTGATACAAAAAGGTGGTTAGAAAAAACACGCCCAATGTTTCTGATTGGCCTGGGAATTCGAAAACCAGGAACCTGCCGTGGAAGCGAGAGCGTTAAACACCAGGCCACCAGAGACCTTGACTATTCAATCAGTTACCAGCAGATATCAGAAATACTGCCTCAACAAGTGTAAACGTCTTCAAGAAGAAAGTGGATCACTACCAGGCTGTGATGAATATGCGGGTCAGCAAACAGCCAAGAGCAACAAACTTAGTTAACCAGGCACTCAAGAGAAAAGCCTGATCCCAGGATAAACTGAGAGAATAGGGAAAATGCTGTAAATCAGTCAGTAAGCGTAGACAACTATAACCATCCTCCCCAGTGAGAACCCCCACACAATGCATCTCGTGCAGTTATCGGGAAAAGCTTAATTTACCAACTATCCAAGGCACACACATCTCCCTAGCAATACAAGTAACACGGAAGCCACAGCGAGGAACTCTTGACTATAGATTTCCTTACATGGTTAACCAAGGTTAGCATTCCATCTTCCATGCCTGTCCCACTGACCTCAAACTTGACTTGAGAGTTGGGATTCTTGAGGGAGTTGAATTACAGCTCCTTGGCTTCTTGAAGGTGTTGAGCTACAGCTCCTTGGCCTCTTGTGGGTGTTGAGCTGCAGCTCCTTGATCCCTTGAAGATGTTGAGCTATAGCTCCTTGGACTCTAGGTATTTAAAAATTCAAAAAATGTTGAGGGGACTAAGGTTATCAGCAAGTGATACCTCTCTCTGTCTCACAGCGACAGAAATATATGCAATTAGCATAGAGGATTATTCCTACCAGGGTTCTAGAGGGAAGATAAATATACAGTTCTTGTACTCAGACTTACCAGTAGTGGGGGAAGCAGTGCGACGCAGCACTGAACGTTTGAAGGAGTGACGTACATTCACTGCTCGCTCTCTGGCCTTGCCTAAGAAGGGCGCTGTTGAGAGTGTATACAGGAGTGGGTTGACGGCAGCGTTGAGTGGCAGCACAAACACTGCAACCCACGCAAACACCTTGAGTCAGGAGAGACAGAATGGAATTATAATCTGAGCTAAAGTTTCCCTAACTGAAGAAAATCTGTATACCATTCCCAACCGTAAAGCCGCTCTCAAAGCTGATACTCCGACCTACTTTTCCCACAACCAATATGTCGTTTCTTCCACACCTTCACCACAACGCTGTTCTTAGTTCTCAAAGTTCCATTCATACTTCACTATACTGTATTTCGTGTCTATCTGAATAAATGGTACTCGGTCTGCCCTTTATATATCTTCCTTGCCTGCCCCCTTTTCTGTAACTGACATGCAATCTTTGATTTCATTCATACATTTGAAAAGTTTTATTATGAGGTTTTAACTCTTATCATTTACTCTGGGGAAGGTCACATTGTGACCAGTTAGTAATTTCTCTGTTCTCTCCATCTCCTTATATTAAACATTGGTGTTCTTATATATCGAGATCCGTGAACCTGTACCCGCTCCCATAATGTATAAATGTTTTCATCTACACTTCATCGATCGTACTAGAATTTGACTGGATAATATTAAATGCTCTACATGACAGCGGTCATTTCCCTATTCTTATTCTTGTTTCAACATTCGTCATCATCGCCGAATTCAGTGTCAATTCAAGGTGCGAACTAGGAGATCTATACACATCATACATTTCCTGATCCTCCTTCCGATTTCTTTACAGACGAGCTAATACTTTACATCTCTTCGTTATCTTTGTACTTTATGCAGCTACAAGTATCATCCCACAGTCCTCAGACATTCAGAAATGTGTCTACTTGTGGTCTACCGACTGCTAGTGGAGTTCGTTTGAAATGAGCTTCAAGGAGCCGCCACGGCTACAACAGCACCACTGACAAGTTTCCTAGCTTATAAACAAGCAAGAATGCACGTGCATCTCATCATACAGACAACTACGCGACCTAGATGGCTTATTTACATATCCACCATAACTACCACTACCTACCTGTGTGCAGTCTGGAAAAAATGCAAAAATTAATAGGCAAATACATACCAGCTCTCGGATAAATACCCACAAGGGGTTTTAACTGGTGAATAATAGGTGTGGGAGAGGAAAGGCCTCAGTAAAAGAAATAACTCGCAGGTAAGGGCACGACCATCCTTGCTACTGTGATTACAAAAGCAGCAGATCCTGTCGACGTCACTAAAGCAACCCATCTATTCTTCATCTATCCTCACTTGCCCCCTCTCCTTGTGGGTCCTTACCCGTGAGTTCTAGTTCTCTCTATTAACTTTGTCACTAACATACAGACGCGGCCCCTGGGTCTGTTGCTCACGCTGTCAGTGTCTTACAAGGGACACCTTTTGTCCGACAATTTTTCAGTTATGTCGAAGACTCCAGAAAAAAAGCTGGCAATAGCACTGGTTTAAGTGAAAAGGAAACTTTTTTTTTTCATTAAACCGGATCTGGGCTTCTCTCCATCTTCCCAATGTTGACAGACAAAGGAAAGCTGCGCTGCGCACGCGCTCATGAATCGGTTAAACATGATTAGCCCACAAATTCCACTTTCCGGCACCTCTCTGCAAGGAGTGTCAGGTGGCTCTTAAATGCTCACCGAATATTTAACGGAAACTATTCTATCGCACCAACTTTGATTTGTATTTTACTCTTGTACTAACCCCTTACCTCCGTCCCTTATCTTCTCACACTCCCACCCCTTCATCCCTTACCCTTACCATCAGGAACTCCTGCCATCTCATATCCCTACCTCTTCACCTCCTACCTTTGTCACTCCCTTACCTCTTCACCCATTACCTCTTCAAATCCCCTACCTACGCACACCCCTAACCTTCGCACATTCCTACTTTTGCACATCCCTCACCACAGTGCTGTACGACACCGGTTGATTGTATTATCATTTTCCTATACATCAGAGAACAACATAAAATCACTTCTGACATCATGAGCGCCCCGACGTACACTGTTCTCTCTAAATGTCTCACACTTGGCAGTAAATTTTTAATACACTAACTTATTGTACCATCTATATTGCAAATTGTAAGCCTTCGCTTAATCACTACCCATACAATTTAAACCACATTTTTTTTCCATAAATCAATTTTACAAGCTGAAAACTGTTAGCCTACTTCAGCTCACAAAGCCCAGCCCTATCTAAGGTATACTACCACCCCCCAGGATGCCACCCACACCAGTCGACTGACACTCTGGTACCTACTTACTGGTAGGTAAACAGGGGCAGCAGGTGTAAGAAAACATGCCCAATGTTTTTCCACACTGACTCGTATTGGTACGGCTGTTGTTTAGGAATGTAATCCAAAATCAGGGGGGCGAACGCTAAACCCCTAACGGGGGTCACACAGTACCGGAGAAATAGGAAGTAATTACATTCAATTAGAGAAAAAAAAAGGAGGTAGCGCCAATTAGTTGAATTACACACCAGCGGCATCGTCGTGACTTCCTTGAAGAGTTGTGACGTGACAGTGAAGTCAAGTTTTTTCCACAAACACTGGAACATTTGCTCATGGAATGCACCCAGAAAATAAGTATTAATAACAAGGAATGAAAGAACTCTTCACATAATATTTTACTCATTTGTAAGTGAAAGATCTGTGTTTTTACGTCATTTTTTTTTAACTGGTTGTGGCCAGGATTCTTAGAAGATAAAAGTTAATGAGATATTGTGGACACCTGGAGAAGTCGATGCTGCGGCACTCGCCTGTGTAGGGATGGAACACTCGCCTGTGTAGGGATGGAACACTCGCCTGTGTAGGGATGGAACACTCGCCTGTGTAGGGATGGAACACTCGCCTGTGTAGGGATGGAACACTCGCCTGTGTAGGGATGGAACACTCGCCTGTGTAGGGATGGAACACTCGCCTGTGTAGGGATGGAACACTCACCTGTGCAGGGATGGGAACACTCACCTGTGCAGGGATGGGAACACTCACCTGTGCAGGGATGGGAACACTCACCTGTGCAGGGATGGGAACACTCACCTGTGCAGGGATGGGAACACTCACCTGTGCAGGGATGGGAACACTCACCTGTGCAGGGATGGGAACACTCACCTGTGCAGGGATGGGAACACCTGCTAGGGACACTAGGCCTAACAAGATGATAGGGAGCCAGCAAGCAGCATCAGTCACCACTATAATAGTCATCTTGGTGGCCATGCTGGACTCCCTCTCCTGCTGGTCACTCCTGACGGCGGCGCTGGAGGAGCGAGCTGCCTGGTACATCCCCCAGTACGACCCAGCGATCACGGAGAACGACGCCAGGTTCAACACTGTTGTGCAGACAGTGTAATGTGGAAAAACACACTTGTTTACAGTTTAGGAATCATTTCGGCACTCGTGGCGAAATGTTTCCTCCGAGTGTCTTTTTTAAGCGTTTAATCGGGATCACCATTCCATTTTTTAATGTAATTTATGGCCACTTAAGGCAATCTTAACTTTACAAACTACAGAATTGGTACCTAAAGTGAGGCTAGCAAGTGGACTCTGGTTATTACAGATACGAAATAATGGAAACTAAAGACTTGGGGACACCAAAAAGTTTGGAGATTTGCATGAAGAACGTGTTCGTTATTTGCAGATACAGAGCCCTTTCTTGATCCACGGAATTGGGAGCTACCCGTCGCTTCCTTGGATTCAACATTACCTCCCATCCATTATGAGGGGGAAGCAATAAACTCCATGGGTTTAGTGCTTCGCCCAATAATATAATAATGATAATCGGGCAAATACAACCTGTCACAATGACAGGGGTCCTACCTATAAGAAAAAATCCCCGACACACACACACACACACACACACACACACACACACACACTCTAAAGGAATTAACAAGGTAACTGATACAAATTAATATCCGTTCAAGAGATAGATCCTTTGCCATGACAAAAGTTCTCTTTAGCCGTGAAATTATACATTTAAATTTCTTCGCATCGAATCTAAATACCCCCGTGACTCATATGGTTCTCGGGTGAGACATCAGGTGTGTGTTTGGTAAGATCTCTGAGGATGGAAGTACTACTGGAAGTTGCCTGCGGATCCTGGAGTATACCTAGAGGGTGTTCCTGGGGTCAACGCCCCCACAGCCTGGTCCGTGACCAGGCCTCGCGGTGGACCAGGGCCTGATCAACCAGTGTATTACTGCTGGCCGCACGTAAACCGACGTACGAGCCACAGCCCGGCTTGTCAAGAGCCGACTTCAGGTGCAACTGACTTTAGGTGGCAACTGAAAATGTATAACTCCTGTTCTCACATGTTTGCTTTCCACCATTATTAGCTTAATGATGGTTGCACAGTTAGTGCTCTTGCCTGATCAGTTAGTCTTGCTCAGCCTTGTCGGGTCACTTCTGGAGGTGCTATCCTGGTGCTGTGCACCTGGTTAAGATAAGTGGTTTAAAAAAAAAAAAAGCAATACAGGAAAATTTCTCGACGCCTTAATCCACTACGCCACCATGCTACAAACGTTAGGTACCCAGCAAGTGCACTGGGCACGTCACAAAGGGGGCACATGTACCGCGTGTCGCAGCTGCGGTGACCCCGCCTCAGGGTGCGTATTTGATTTCATTTATTTTCACAGCTGCCCCATTCTTCCACCTTTACACCTCATACCTTTACACCTCATACCTTTACACCTCATACCTTTCACCTCTTATCATCTTGGCAGCTCCTAATGTTTCTCTCTCTCTCTCCTCCATATTCTACATCCACCCACTGGCTGTCACGACCCAGGTCATATTTGCATTTAAGAGGCAGCGTCCGAAATAGACCTTGACAATCACCAAATTAAACCAGGAATATCAGTATGATTGCTAAATTTTAATTAAATGCACGAATATATCGTATAACGTTAGCTCTGACAATATATCGTGCAACGTTAGTTCTGACAATACATCACCTTTACAGTTGCGCTCTCCTCCCATCTTCCCTACACTGTCTACTGTTGCACACAAATCCCTTATGATTTACCGCTACCACCACACACAATTTACCAACTTCACTAGCCCATACACACCACCTGCCACCTCACTGGTAATTAATAACTGATATTTCAGTGAAAAAATCAGGATGCAGGGGGAATCGCAGGGAGCTTAAAATGTTGATCTCAAAGTTTCCCGCCACTAGGTATTTGCTAACTGCAATGCAAAACGCATAACACAGTCTGAGTTCCTCTCTCTTTGGCTCTGTACTGTTTCAATTACTCTGCTTATTTTTTTTTCTAAAGAGTCATGCAACGAAAGTGCACTTTCCGTTCGCAATATTCCTCATTCAAGAGTTGTCGTTCCTGCTTCACTGCTTGCCTGTACATGGTCTGTTCTTTCTATCCCTTCACGTCTCTCGTCTGTTACAGTGTAGCTTCTAATTTCATCCTCGCCTACACGACTACTCGTATTTGGTGATTTTTATTTCTCAACAATGGCTCTGGGGTGGATTGCAGTGTGACTTTCGGAAACCAGTTTGTCTTTTCTCACCCCTCATAATAATAAATAATAATGATTAATAATAAAATTTACAATAAGTGACTTACCCAGGAATACGAAGACCGAGTACTCCCAGCCGCTGGGCTTCTGGTGTGTGATGTGTAGGGCCAAACAAACACCAGAACGACCGTAAAAGTTCCTGAACAGAATACAAGTCTGTCAATACAGCTATAAAGATAAACTATGAAGAACAAGCTGTTACTGGCACTACGCTTCGCTGAAACTCTGAGCAATACGTGATTCAGTTAGTAGTAAAGTTTTATTAAGCACCTCGTACTCCCTACCCAGTGCGCAGGAGTTAAAACTCTCTCAGAGGGTGTCAAGGGCCACAGTTTTGATAGCTAAGCAAGTTAGTGGTAATGAACTATTTACAATGTAATGATCTGGCTTGTTTAGTACATTGCATTTATACTCTCCAAATCTAACGTCGGCACACGTAACAGCAATCTGTATATACAATATTTTGAGTATATCTAGTTTGATCTGTATATACTAGAGAACTCGTATATACTGGCTAGTATATATGACAATACACAGACATTATTTTAGGTATTAATGACCCTCGTGTAGTCGACAAGCTTTAAACCTTATTAAACAAACAAATGAAAGTCAGTCATGGGAAAGGTGCCTAGAGATTGGTGAAGGGCTCTTCATCCAAGGAAGTGAAGCTACCCTTCTCTGACTGCCTCTCATTCGCCAGGCGCTGTCAAGCTATGGCGCTTCTCAACATTAAAATAATAATGTAATGATGATAGTAATAAAGCTTTAGAATAAATTATACGTATTAAAGCTTTAGAATAAATTATACGTATTAAAGCTTTAGAATAAATTATACATCATAAATTGCAGTGATAAATGTGTATGGAGCAGTGAGGACAATTAAGCCTGAAGGCTCGATCCTCTGTCCCGTAATAACCAGACATACACTAGTTAACTATCTCATCTAATGGCATTATATGACAGGTACGAGACAGTCGCCCACTAACTGGCGCTTCAAGGTGCAGTTCAGGCCCTTCCCCTCCCTTCAAGGTCGGTGCCCTGAATCTAGTAAAGGGATCTTGATACTGGTAATTGAGGCTACCTTCCCATTCCTGGGATCAAACCTGATTGCTTTGCATTCTCCAAGCGCTGGATGACCCTCAGATATAACAGCAATAACTGCAACCGTATTTGTTTAGTTAATGTTGCTACTAGGGTAATTGTTCTATGTATTGATGTTCCGCTGTGTAATAGTGTTCCTGCTGGTGCAGATCTCTTGATCCAAGGAACTGGTGCTACACATCCTGATTACCGCTCATTCTCCAGGTACGCGCTGACTTGCGCAGTTAGCGCCTCTCAGTGAACAGAATAATGTACTGACCTGTACTGACCTCCAGTACTAAACACGAGAGAAGTACTGACCTTCAATGAGATACATACTGACCTAAAGAAATTAACACCTACTAGAAAAGTGCTACCATACACACCAGTCCCGGTGGCCTGGTGCCTAAAGCTCCCGCTTCACACACGGAGGGCCCGGGTTCGATTCCCGGCGGGTGGAAACATTTCGACACGTTTCCTTACACCTGTTGTCCTGTTCACCTAGCAGCAAATAGGTACCTGGGTGTTAGTCGACTGGTGTGGGTCGCATCCTGGGGGACAAGATTAAGGACCCCAATGGAAATAAGTTACAGTCCTCGATGACGCACTGACTTTCTTGGGTTATCCTGGGTGGCTAACCCTCCGGGGTTAAAAATCCGAACGAAATCTTATCTTATCACCTCTGGGGTAATGAACGTGAATTCTCGGTTGCTCTCTCCTTCATGTACGACACTCCAAGCTTCCGCAGCGGGATCTCTTGGAAAATTTTGTAATAACTTATCAACAGCTTTGTTATCACTGGCAGCAGCGTTTGTCCAACTTAAAACTTGATAAATTATTCTTCATTAAAGAGCATTTAGGTACTTTGCCATCTTTCCAAAGTTGTGGCGTGTGGGAACACTATTCTCGCACACGAATCGGACACACGCTTCACTCACGGATACCTCGTGGAGAGACGCTAGACACGTCTCTGGAAAATGTGTCAGGTTACACTGTCACTGACACATTAATACACTACCCTATATAAGAACATAAGAACATAAGAACGAAGGAACACTGCAGAAGGCCTACTGGCCCATGCGAGGCAGGTCCAAGTCTCCTACCGGCTTAAGCCAATGCACCCAACCTAGTCAGGTCAGGTCACACTGACTTAAGGGAGGAACACGGCAACCGACCTGGTAGCACAAGCTATCAGGTCTAACTCACACCCACCCACATCTACTCATGTATTTATCCAACCTATTTTTAAAGCTACACAACGTTCTGGCCTCTATAACGGTACTTGGGAGTTTGTTCCACTCATCCACAACTCTATTACCAAACCAGTACTTTCCTATATCCCTCCTGAATCTGAATTTTTCCAACTTAAAACCATTGCTGCGAGTCCTGTCTAGGCTAGATATTTTCAGCACACTATTTACATCCCCTTTATTTATTCCTGTCTTCCACTTATACACCTCAATCATATCCCCCCTAATTCTACGTCTTTCTAGAGAGTGCAGTTTCAGGGCCCTTAGTCTATCCTCATAGGGAAGGTTTCTGATACATGGGATCATCTTTGTCATCCTCCTTTGTACATTTTCCAGAGAATTTATATCCATTCTGTAATACGGTGACCAAAACTGTGCAGCATAATCTAAATGAGGCCTAACCAAGGATGTATAGAGTTGAAGAACAACCTGAGGACTCCTATTATTTATGCTTCTTGATATGAAGCCAAGGATTCTATTAGCTTTATTGCGAACACTTATGCACTGTTGTCTTGGTTTCAGATTACTGCTAACCAGAACTCCTAAATCTTTTTCGCAATCCGTAATATTAAGATCTACATTATTTAGTTTATATGTGGCATGGTTATTGTCCTGTCCAACATTTAGAACTTTGCATTTGTCTATATTAAACTGCATCTGCCACTTCTCCGACCACTGCATCAGTCTATTCAAATCTTCCTGGAGTGCTCGAATGTCCTCGTCAGAATGAATTCGACGGCCTATTTTGGTGTCATCGGCAAACTTGCCGATGTCGCTCTTTATGCCCTCATCTATGTCGTTTATGTAGATTGTGAACAGCAGGGGCCCAACACTGACCCCTGTGGAACACCGCTCGTGACGCTTCCCCACTCTGATTTCTCCCCATTTATGCAAACTCTCTGCTGCCTATTTGTCAACCATGCCTCTATCCAGGAAAAATTTCTCCTCCTATTCCATGTGCTTTAATTTTCCTCAATAGTCTCTGATGTGGGACCCTGTCAAAAGCCTTACTGAAGTCCATATACACAATATCATATTCATTACCATGATCTACCTCCTCAAATACCTTAGTGAAAAAAGTTAATAAATTCGTAAGGCAGGAACGCCCCTTTGTAAAACCATGCTGAGATTCGTTGATTAATTTATGCTTTTCAAGGTGGCTACGAACTGCCTCGGCAATTATTGATTCCATAAATTTTCCCACTATGGAGGTTAGGCTTATTGGTCTATAGTTCGAAGCTAAGGACCTGTCACCTGTTTTGAAAATAGGTATCACATTTGCCATTTTCCACTTATCTGGCACCATGCCAGTTTGTAGTGATATGTTGAAAAGATTAGCCAAAGGTGTGCTAAGCTCCTCTTTACATTCCTTTAGAACCCTTGCATACAGTTCATCAGGGCCTGGGGATTTGTTAGGTTTTAATTTATCTATTTGCCTAAGGACCATGTCACTTGTGACCCTAATAGTGCACAGTTTATTATCGTCCTGTTCTACATAATTTATCATTACTGGAATATCGCTGGTATCCTCCTGTGTAAAAACTGAGAGGAAGTATGTGTTAAAAATTCTACACATTTCCTTATCACTGTCAGTGAGCTGACCCGAGGAACTTTTGAGTGGGCCTATCTTGTCCCTGATCTTACTTCTGTATACCTGAAAGAATCCTTTTGGGTTAGTCTTCGATTCTCTTGCAACTTTAACCTCATAATCTCTATTTGCTTTTCTAATTCCCTTTTTTATTTCTCTCTTAACTGAATATATCGATTTCTTAATGCCCCTCTCCTCTTTTGATTTGCCTATATATGCCTCTCTTTTGACCAATCAGATATTTTTAATCTATTGTTCATCCATTTAGGATCATTTTTTGTTTGATCTGATTTCCCTATTTGGAACATAATTTGACTGAGCAGCTAGAACTATGCCCTGGAAAGCATCATATCGGCAACCATCACCACCTACCTGACCCCTAGTCAGGTCATTCCAGTTCAGCCCACCTAAGTAATTTTTCAGTCCTATGAAATCAGCCAAGCGAAAGTCAGGGACGGAGACTTGATTGCCATTATTAGGGGAATTCCATGATATGTTAAAACTGAGTGATTTGTGATCACTCTCCCCAAGCTCATCATTAACCTCAAGATTATTAATTAGTGCTTCCCTACTGGCAAGAACCAAGTCAAGGAGGTTATTTCCCCTAGTTGGCTCTGTCACAAACTGTTTTAAAAAAACAATCCTGGATCGTATCAAGAAAGTCACCCGACTCTAAATTTCCTGTCAAATTGCTCCAGTCAATCTGTCTATAGTTGAAATCTCCCATTAGCACAACATTTTCGTATGTAGATGCCTTACGAATTTCGTCCCATAGAAGTTTACTGCACTCCCTATCAAGATTTGGGTCCCTGTAAATCACACCCAAAATTAGTTTTTCTCGGCCTCGAGAAGCTGTAACCAAACAGATTCAGTGGCTGACGCTTCTAATTTAATATCTTGTCTAACACAACAATTTAAATTGTCTCTGACATACATCGCTACTCCACCACCTTTCCTGTTGACCCTGTCAGTGTGGAATAATTTATAGCCTTGTATGTGACATTCAGAGGCATCTCTCTATCTTTCAGATTGAGCCAGGTCTCTGTTATAGCAATAATATCTATGTTTCCTGCACTTGCAATTAATCTTAGCTCATCTATCTTATTTCTAACACTCCTGCTATTAGTATAGTAAACCTTAAGGGAGCTAGTCCCTTGCTGCCCTCTGCTGTCCCCCTTTGTTTGCTGGCCTGTTCTATTGTCTTTATTTATAACTTCATGCTGAATGCCTTTTATACATTTACTGTTTCCAACCCTAGTGTTGCAACCTGCTTGTTTCCCACACACACCCATACCTCTATCTTCCATCAGTTTAAAATCATAGGCATTTTCACCAATGGCCTTCTCAATCGAGTCTGCAAGTGCTACCACCCCTGCCCCAGAGAGTTGTACCCATCCCTTGCATACATATCATGTTTTGCCATAAAAGTTGTTCCAGTTGTCAATGAATGGGATTGCAAGTTCCTTGCAGTATCTGTCTAGCCAGCAATTTACACCAATTGCCCTAGACAACCATTCATTTCCTACTCCCCTTCTAGGCAAGATGCTACATATGATTGGGATCCCTCCCTTAGACTTAATGAAATCTATAGCTGACCTGTACTTATCTAGCAGCTCTTCTCTCCTACCCTTCCCAATATCATTTCCACCAGCACTGAGACAGATAATGGGCTTGTTTCCATTACCTGACATGATATTATCCAGCCTGTTGACAATGTCCCCAACACCAGCTCCAGGGAAGCACACTCTATCTCTCATCTTCTTATTCCTATTACAAAAAGCACGGTCAACATATCTTACCTGAGAGTCACCAACCACAAGAATGCGCTTACCTTCATTAGCAGGGGCAGTAGTACCCTTACCTTCACTGGCCACTGAAGTACATTCATCCTGGAGAACAGAGAAGAGATTTCCTACCTTCAGATCTTCACTCTTAACTTTCCTTACTCTGATGCGCCTCCCATTACTGTGAACAACTCGCCACTTGTAGCAGGTGCTGGGCTGCACCTCACTGCTGGTAGCCGTTGCTACCTCCCCACCTACAGCCTCCTCACAGTGAGAGACAGACTGCACCTCACTGCTAGAAGCCTCATTCCCCACATCTCCAACCACCTCACACTCTCTCCCAGGCCCATTGAGGTGGACCTTCAGCCTCCTAATCTCCTCCTGGAGAAGCAAGACCTCCTCCTTCAACTCTCCAACCTCAGTTTTTAAAACACTGCAGAAGCAAGCCATGCTTTGTAACCGTTCACGCTAATCCCCAAAGCAGCTCAGAGATCATGCTAAATACACCTTAGACACTGACAACACCATGATGGGCTCCTTTCTGATAGAAACTATTCATTTACACCAACTTCGATTTCTATTTCCCAATCTGCTACCCCAACGTCCACTAACCTACACCAGGACTCCATATATATCACTGCAGCACTGTATGACCTGTGAGGGTTTAGCATTTATAAATAACAAAGGCACAATACTGTTGTAAGCTCCCCTCTCCTATGTGAGGGCTATATGTGCACTGCTCAGTGTTACTTTTTAATATAAATACGAGAGAAGTGCTGACCTGAAGTAGTGTATATCCGCTAGAGGCAGAGCAGCTAGGACACACACACACACCCACACCACCGTCATGATCACCTTGGTCCATCTCATATTCAGACGAGGCACTCGAAATGGGAACATTATCACCACCAACCTCTCCAGAGTGATCACTGTGAGGGAGGGAAGGAAACTTTGACAACACTGACACTTAGTTATTGGTGGCATTGTGGCTATTTCTAATTGTAGTCATTGTTAATTGTAATTATTGCTGTGGTTCTTAGTTATGTTTTTCGTTAATAGTAGTTATTGTTGGAAGCAGATTTACTGGCCCATACTTGGCAGGTCTTAGTCAAACCCAAACCCATTAAAAAATATTCACCCAATCCATTATGTTACCCAATGAATAAGATATTATTAGTTGTGGTTTTTGTGGATGCACGTACTGCGACTGGTCATGGTTGGGTGTGCTTACTGTGAGCAGTACATTACCTGTCAGGGTGAAGACAGAGAGCTCACTGGAGAACGTGGAGAAGAAGCCAGCCAACTGACAGAGTGTTGAGGTACGCCAGAAGGCGTCGTAGATGAAGTAGACACCGCGGTAATGCACATCTACTGCAGCGATAATCAGCAAATAGAGTCCCATACACAGGTCCCCCAGCGCCAGGTTGGTGATCAGGAAGGAGTGAACCTGAGCCATAACAAAACTGTTACTTTTTGCTACATTTAAAGACGGGTAAGTGGATGCTGATGGACTCTTGAGTAATGGATATAACCTCCGACGCCTGCGGGATTAACGCTTGCCTGTGCATATACTAGGTAGTAACACACATGAAGACAAACACCGATAATAAAGTTACTCTGTCCATTTCGACCTTCAGTTGAGGCCGAAATACCTTACACAGCCAAACTTCTCATTAAAAACCTTCTATGCCAAGGAATACACAGGGTGTTTCACTCTTTGGAGGCCCCGAGTTGGTACTCCCGTAGTGGCAACCGTCGTTTGTACATTATGTCTGTATGAACTAGTGTTATTATGAAACTAGCGAGTTCCTAACCTGACACCCAATCTGTATAAACGTGCGTCCTACTCTTTGTATCTTAGCCATAAAGTGTCAGGAGGAAGAGAATTTTATGCACAGAAGAGAAAAAAATACAGGAGAAAGCATAAATAGAAGAAAACAGACGTGAACGCAAGCATTAGACAATGACGAGGAGGTTGCCCACTATGGCCAGGGAGCCCAGAACACACACGTACCTTGTTATCAGTGTGATAGAGAAGTCGCCAGATGATAACTAAGAGGTTGCCTGCTAGTGCCAGGGAGCCCAGTACCCACACACACACCCGCAAAACATTGTTGCTCATCAGGTCCTCACACGAGCTGAACTCATCAGGTTCAGGCAGACACTGACGGACGTGGCGAGCCAAGCAGCAGAAGCGGAACTCATCAGTCCACCTATACAGAATAACGAGGAGTCAGTCCACCTGGTATAAACCTTGGTAATAGATACCAACAAGTTGGTTTAGAAAAACACACAAGCAAACGCTTGGACATATTTATTAGAAAACGTTTCAATATGTCCTAGTGTTTGCTTACGTCTTTTTCTAAAGCAGTCAATCCACCAACACAGAATAATCAAGAGAATGAGGCAGTGAAACAACAGTACTCACCCAGGTCTTGTTCAGGTAGGACCCTTGTTATACCGCCTCCATTACGTTTCATACAGCTACACTGCTACTGTAGATTAACTTCAGTTGTGAAGCTACTATGGGGTGGAGTTCACTTATCTAGGTCTGGGGTGGGGGCCCTGGCCAGTGCAGTGGAGGGAGCTATTAGGGTTTTAAACTAGAAATAATAGACACGTGCAACATCTGGGTATCTTTATTGTAGACGTTTCGCCATCCAGAAGCTTTATCAATACAAATTCATGGACATAATTGGAAAACAGAAGAACTATATACAAAAGATGAGGTAATCAGTCCCTCAGCCTTGAAGTTGGTGTGAAGAGCACCGTACAGTGCTCTTCACACCTGTAGTAGTAGTAATAGTAGTAGTAGTAGTAGTAGTAGTAGTAGTAGTAGTAGTAGTGGTGGTAGTAGTAGTGGTGGTGGTGGTAGTAGTAGTAGTGGTGGTGGTAGTAGTAGTGTGGTGGTAGGTGGTAGTGTGGAGTGTGTAGTAGTGTGGTGGTGAGTGGTGGTAGTTAGTGGTTAGTGGTGTGTGTGGTAGTAGTGTGTGTGGTGGTAGTAGTATGTGTGGTGGTGGTAGTAGGTGTGGTGGTAGTGTAGTAGTGTGGTAGTGGTAGTAGTAGTGGGTGGTGGTAGTAGGTAGTGGTGGTGGTGGGTAGTAGTAGTGGTGGGTGGTGGTAGTAGTAGTATGGTGGTGGTGGTAGGTGTGGATGGTGGTAGTAGGTGGGTGGTGTGTAGTAGTAGTGTGGTAGTAGTAGTGGTGGTGTGTGTGGTGGTAGGTGGTAGTAGTGGTGGGTGGTGGTAGTAGTAGTGGTGGGGTGGTGGAGTAGTGGTGTGTGTAGTAGTAGTAGTAGTGTGGGAGTATGGTGGTGGTAGTAGTAGTGGTGGTGTAGTAGTGGTGGTGGTTAGTAGTGGTGGTGTAGTAGTAGTGGTGGTAGTAGTAGTGTGTGTGGTAGTAGTGTGGTGTAGTAGTGGTGGTGTAGTAGTAGTGGTGTGGGTGTGTGTAGTTGGTGGGGTGTATGGTGGTGGTAGTAGTGGTGGTAGTGTAGTGTGGTGGTTAGTATGGTAGTGGTGGTGGTAGTAGTAGGTGGTGGTAGTAGGGTAGTGGTGGTAGTAGTAGTGGTGGTGGTAGTAGTAGTGGTGGTGGTGTAGTAGTAGTGGTGTAGTAGTGGTGGTAGTAGTGTGGTGGGGTGGTAGTAGTTAGTGGTGGTGTGTAGTTGTGTAGTGTGTGGTGGTGGTGGTGGTAGTGTTAGATATGTGGTGGTATGTGGTGGTGGTGTAGTAGTGTGTGGTGTAGTAGTAGTGGTGGTGGTAGTAGTGGTGGTAGGTGGTGGTGTTTTGGTAGTAGTAGTGTGGGTGTGGTGGTGGTAGTAGTATTGGTGGTGGTGGTAGTAGTATTGGTGGTGGTTGGGTGGGGGTGGTAGTGGTGTGGTGGTGGTGGTGGTAGTAGTGGGTGGTGGTGGTGTGTATGGTGGGGTAGTAGTAGTATGGTGGGTGGTAGTAGTTTGGTGGTGGTAGTAGTGGTGGTGGTAGTGGTATTAGTAGTAGTATTGGTGGTGGTAGGTAGTAGTTGGTGGTGGTAGTTAGTAGGTGGTGGTAGTGGTAGTAGTAGTAGGTGGTGGTAGTAGTTGGGGTGGTGTGTGGTAGTAGTGGTGTGGGGGTTAGTAGTGGTGGGTGGTAGTAGTGGTGGTGGTAGGTTAGTTGTGGTGGGTGGTGGTAGTAGTGGTGGTGGTAGTAGTGGTGGTGGTAGTAGTGGTGGTGGTAGTAGCGGTGGTGGTAGTAGTAGTAGCGGTGGTAGTAGCGGTGGTGGTAGTAGTAGTAGCGGTGGTAGTAGTGGTGGTGGTGGTAGTAGTAGTGATGGTAGCAGCAGCTGTGTGATGGCGGTGATTTACTGCTTTGAGCAGAATTCTTGTCAATATTCTTCATAAATGATGAAGCTGTCTTTATTGTGTGTGTCAGAAATAGCACCTTCATCTCTGTAGTACTAGTAATAATCCCCCATCACATAGCTATCACCACCACAAGGACTACTACTACTGCCACCACCACCACCACCAACCTACAACAATTATATGTTTTGCACCACACACTGTACCTATATATACACCTGTGCGTGTCCTTGTAACGGCTTGACAAAGCTCCTGGAGAGCGAAACGTTGCCACAATAAAATGTCACATTAGTTGCACTTGTGTCCTTATATCTAACATATTCCCCATACTTGTGTAACCTATAGACACGACCTCCATCAACTAGTGGTCTACCACCTACTTTTGTCAAGACTGATGGACTGAACACACCGATTCTAGACTGAGGGACTGATGACCTCAAACTCCTCATCTTCCACCGTTCTGTGCATTGGACTGAAGAAGGTACTGCGTGACGAAACGTTTCCAGAGTAAAAATTCCCAAATGTTGCAAAAGTGTCATTTACCAACCTGTCAATTTCCTAAATAATTTAAACACATATCCACTTATATAGTTCAATGATGTCTTCTCTCATTCTACGTCTCTCGGTGGGTTCCAAGATGGCGCTCGTGCCTCAGAATTTTATCAACTTTATCTTATAGTCAACTGTGCTGACAGAAGAAAATCTAGACGTAACCAAAATAACGCAACTCAAAAAAATTGCTGAAGATCATTGGTGAAGAATTTGTGACATTATCAAAATTATATATATATATATATATATATATTATATATATATATATATATATATATATATATATATATATATATATATATATATATATAAAATCATGATGCGCTAAACCCTAGTGGTAGAGGCTCGTTCCTCCGTCCATTTACTGAAGGCAGGTTCAGTGTGTTGGTAACCTCGACCTACGGGAGACGAGAGTAAATTCAGTGAAGTGTTAATTAAGCCAATTCAGGAAGGCAGTATATAGGCAGTGTTGGTATATCCGAGGCAGTGCTGGGATATCCGAGGCAGTGCTGGGATATCCGAGGCAGTGCTGGGATATCCGAGGCAGTGCTGGGATATCCGAGGCAGTGCTGGGATATCCGAGGCAGTGCTGGGATATCCGAGGCAGTGCTGGGATATCCGAGGCAGTGCTGGGATATCCGAGGCAGTGCTGGGATATCCGAGGCAGTGCTGGGATATCCGAGGCAGTGCTGGGATATCCGAGGCAGTGCTGGGATATCCGAGGCAGTGCTGGGATATCCGAGGCAGTGCTGAGATATCCCAGGCAGTGCTGAGATATCCCAGGCAGTGCTAAGATATCCCAGGCAGTGCTGAGATATCCCAGGCAGTGCTTAGATATCCGAGGAAGCAAGGGGATGTCTGGGGCAGCAAGGAAATATCTGAAACAGCAAGAGGATATCTGAAACAGCAACGAGGATATATAAAACAGCAAGGAGGATATATAAAACAGCAAGGAGGATATATAAAACAGCAAGGAGGATATCTGAAACAGCAACGAGGATATATAAAACAGCAAGGAGGATATCTGAAACAGCAACGAGGATATATAAAACAGCAAGAGGATATCTGAAACAGCAAGAGGATATCTGAAACAGCAAGGAGGATATCTGAAACAGCAAGGAGGATATCTGAAACAGCAAGGAGGATATCTGAAACAGCAAGGAGGATATCTGAAACAGCAAGGAGGATATCTGAAACAGCAAGAGGAGGATATCTGAAACAGCAAGGAGGATATCTGAAACAGCAAGGAGGATATCTGAAACAGCAAGGAGGATATCTGAAACAGCAAGGAGGATATCTGAAACAGCAAGGAGGATATCTGAAACAGCAAGGAGGATATATGAAACAGCAAGGAGGATATCTGAAACAGCAAGGAGGATATATGAAACAGCAAGGAGGATATATGAAACAGCAAGGAGGATATATGAAACAGCAAGGAGGATATATGAAACAGCAAGGAGGATATCTGAAACAGCAAAGAGGATATATGAAACAGCAAGAGGATATATGAAACAGCAAGAGGATATATGAAACAGCAAGTGGATATATGAAACAGCAAAGAGGATATATGAAACAGCAAGGAGGATATCTGAAACAGCAAGGAGGATATCTGAAACAGCAACGAGGATATATAAAACAGCAAGGAGGATATCTGAAACAGCAACGAGGATATATAAAACAGCAAGAGGATATCTGAAACAGCAAGAGGATATCTGAAACAGCAAGGAGGATATCTGAAACAGCAAGGAGGATATCTGAAACAGCAAGGAGGATATCTGAAACAGCAAGGAGGATATCTGAAACAGCAAGGAGGATATCTGAAACAGCAAGGAGGATATCTGAAACAGCAAGGAGGATATCTGAAACAGCAAGGAGGATATCTGAAACAGCAAGGAGGATATCTGAAACAGCAAGGAGGATATCTGAAACAGCAAGGAGGATATCTGAAACAGCAAGGAGGATATCTGAAACAGCAAGGAGGATATCTGAAACAGCAAGGAGGATATCTGAAACAGCAAGGAGGATATATGAAACAGCAAGGAGGATATCTGAAACAGCAAGGAGGATATATGAAACAGCAAGGAGGATATATGAAACAGCAAGGAGGATATATGAAACAGCAAGGAGGATATATGAAACAGCAAGGAGGATATCTGAAACAGCAAAGAGGATATATGAAACAGCAAGAGGATATATGAAACAGCAAGAGGATATATGAAACAGCAAGTGGATATATGAAACAGCAAAGAGGATATATGAAACAGCAAGGAGGATATCTGAAACAGCAAGGAGGGTATCTAGTTCAGACCTTTTATCTTCGTAATAAACTGACCCCAAACATACCCTTTATTTTCCTGATTATACAACAATTAGTTTCTCTCTAATTCCCTAATTCTGTATTTTTGGTTTTGTGGAGCAGCAGGGTAGCTGTGGTTCACTGCTGGCTCCTGTGTTGTGGAGCAGCAGGGTAGCTGTGGTTCACTGCTGGCTCCTGTGTTGTGGAGCAGCAGGACAGCTGTGGTTCACTGCTGGCTCCTGTGTTGTGGAGCAGCAGGGTAGCTGTGGATCACTGCTGGCTCCTGTGTTGTGGAGCAGCAGGGCAGCTGTGGTTCACTGCTGGCTCCTGTGTTGTGGAGCAGCAGGACAGCTGTGGCTCACTGCTGGCTCCTGTGTTGTGGAGCAGCAGGGTAGCTGTGGTTCACTGCTGGCTCCTGTGTTGTGGAGCAGCAGGGCAGCTGTGGTTCACTGCTGGCTCCTGTGTTGTGGAGCAGCAGGACAGCTGTGGTTCACTGCTGGCTCCTGTGTTGTGGAGCAGCAGGGCAGCTGTGGTTCACTGCTGGCTCTTTTGTGGAGCAGCAGGGCAGCTGTGGTTCACTGCTGGCTCCTGTGTTGTGGAGCAGCAGGACAGCTGTGGTTCACTGCTGGCTCCTGTGTTGTGGAGCAGCAGGGTAGCTGTGGTTCACTGCTGGCTCCTGTGTTGTGGAGCAGCAGGGCAGCTGTGGTTCACTGCTGGCTCCTGTGTTGTGGACCAGCAGGGTAGCTGTGGTTCACTGTTGGCTCCTGTGTTGTGGACCAGCAGGGCACCTGTGGTTCACTGCTGGCTCCTGTGTTGTGGAGCAGCAGGGTAGCTGTGGTTCACTGCTGGCTCCTGTGTTGTGGACCAGCAGGGCACCTGTGGTTCACTGCTGGCTCCTGTGTTGTGGACCAGCAGGGTAGCTGTGGTTCACTGCTGGCTCCTGTGGTGTGGACCAGCAGGGTAGCTGTGGTTCACTGCTGGCTCCTGTGTTGTGGACCAGCAGGGCACCTGTGGTTCACTGCTGGCTCCTGTGTTGTGGACTAGCAGGGCACCTGTGGTTCACTGCTGGCTCCTGTGTTGTGGACCAGCAGGGCACCTGTGGTTCACTGCTAGCTTCTGTGTTGTGGACCAGCAGGGCACCTGTGGTTCACTGCTGGCTCCTGTGTTGTGGAGCAGCAGGGTAGCTGTGGTTCAATGCTGGTTCCTGTGTTGTGGAGCAGCAGGGCACCTGTGGTTCACTGCTGGCTCCTGTGTTGTGGAGCAGCAGGGTAGCTGTGGTTCACTGCTGGTTCCTGTGTTGTGGACCAGCAGGGTAGCTGTGGTTCACTGCTGGCTCCTGTGTTGTGGAGCAGCAGGGTAGCTGAGGTTCACTGCTGGCTCCTGTGTTGTGGAGCAGCAGGGTAGCTGTGGTTCACTGCTGGCTCCTGTGTTGTGGAGCAGCAGGGTAGCTGTGGTTCACTGCTGGCTCCTGTGTTGTGGAGCAGCAGGGTAGCTGTGGTTCAATGCTGGTTCCTGTGTTGTGGAGCAGCAGGGCAGCTGTGGTTCACTGCTGGCTCCTGTGTTGTGGAGCAGCAGGGTAGCTGTGGTTCACTGCTGGCTCCTGTGTTGTGGAGCAGCAGGGTAGCTGTGGTTCACTGCTGGCTCCTGTGTTGTGGAGCAGCAGGGTAGCTGTGGTTCACTGCTGGCTCTTGTGTAATTCTAAAATTACTTCTCTACTTATCCTCTTAACATAACATTCATTTTCTAGGATCCTTTGCTTAAGTCCCTATTATCTGTGAGCTGTATTTCTTGCATTTTTCCTGTGCGAGTGCATGTACACGAGTGTACGAATGTGTTGTGTACGTGTGTGTTTTCTTGTACACACATTAATATTAATAATAATAATAAATAATAATAATAATCTATTTGTACAATTGCAAGGTATACAGGCCTAACTATATAGAAAGCCCCTTGGTATACAGAAGATTTCGGGCAAATTAGGTCAGTTATGTCCCCAGGATGCGACCGACACCAGTCAACTAACACCCAGGTACCTATTTTAATGCTAGGTGAACATTGACAGCAGGTGTCTTAAGGAAACTTCCTAATGTTTCCAACTGTACCGGAGATCGATCCACGGACTTCAGCGTGTGAGAGCTGGGTTCGCTAGCAATCGAGCTATGGGACATATAATCAGGTAAAGAAAACATTTAGCTAAGTCTTTCTTGAACGACGTCTCACACTAGAGCTTCATTCCTGAACGAAACTTTGTTCAGTAACAGACTGCCTTGCTGTGTGTTTTACTCAGCTGTCAGAAGTTAGGCTGTAGCTCTCACTTACAGGTGGTGAAGGTTAGTGAGGCCAGTGAAGAGTCGGGCGGCCATAGCATCCACTGGATTACCTCTGAGGTCTCTGAAGAATAAGAAACGAGAGGTGAGTGCACCTCCTACACAGAATCATGGAAAATATACAGGAAGCAGAGGAGTTAAGAAAACAGAGGCAATCAGGAAAGCTAGAAACTAATATACATAAGTGAGAACAGAGGTGGAATGATAATATAAATGAAAAACGAAAAACTGTCGCAACATTGGTACAGTCATAATAGTGAAGATGACAATATAGGACCAAGTGGTAATATTTAATTTATGGAGGAGGAAAATCTAACGAGGAACATTAAGGAGATTTATGAAAAACTTAAAAAGGTTTTGAAAATAATATTCAACTAAGAGTCAGAGAGCAGGAACTGAACATACTGAAAGCATGAGAAGCTGACAAAGTGTCTCCTTGGATCCCGGGAGAAGATGCAGGCACACTTATATGACTTAATAACAGTCAATATGACCTCTCAGAAGCTGCAAAACAAGTCGAAAGTCGTCTCATTATTTAAGGAAAAGAATAAACAGGCAACAAAGAACTCTTACATATTATCTGAGGTCAAGAAGAAAAATAATAGTGGAACACGGAGAAGCATGACATCATTATCTTACAGCTGCTATACGTTTACTGGACGTTAATCTTGGCTCAGAAACTTGAAACTCTGCGACAGAGTAACAGAGATGAAGCAGAGAAGAGTGGGACAGGTAGACTCCATATCCCTGGAGTGTATAAAGGAACTGGTACTGTACACCACGAGAGATTAATCAACGAATTATAAAGACACAGGGATAACGGCAAAATAATGAATCAAGGGATACCAAAGGGTTGCAAGACAGTAACAGTTGCCGAAGAAACACTGGAATGGACGAGTATAATGACTGGTTCTTTAAATTTGTAAATTCATACTGGGTCCGGAATTACTTATGGTATACACAAGACACGACCTACGAAACGAGTCTCTGCTGGAAGATAAGGTTCATAGGTGAAAATACGGGAATATCCCAAGATGTTGCTATGTCTGACAAAGATACCTCATTGTTACACATGTGTTCTCAGTCATCAACCTGTCGGTTTTCTAAATGATTTATACAAAGTTTTAGGAATAGGTTTGATAAGGCCCATGAGACAAGGAACGAACATATAATAACTGGCGCCACTTGCGTGTACCCGTCACTAGGCGAGTACGATCCCTTCCCCCCCCCACACACACACACACACACACACACACACAAAAGCATCGCTATGGGTTATAATGGAGAAGAACCTGTATGAACCTCTAACTAAAATTTACTAGTCGATGAAAATCGGGCAATTACCAGAGAGACAGGAGACAGAGAATGTATTTCATGGAAAACATCCAGGTAGAATTAAAGTGCAGACATATATTATTGGAACACATACAATGTAAGATAATGGAGAAGATAATCAGAAGCACACTTGGACAAAACTGCTTTCATAAACAAATATCGCTGGTTTAGATCAAATAAATCCTGTTTTACAACTACTAAGTTCTATAACAAAGAAACATAGGTAGTTCAGGAGAGAGAGGAATGGGTAACCTATATAATCTTAGCCTGACAGGGCATTTGACAATGTACCACACAAATGACAAACTTGAAGAGCAGGCAGGAATAACAGAGTGCTACGCTGGATCAAATAATACGTTAAACGAAAGAATGTTCATGCATGCGCCATTGTAAAAATGTGCAGTTCCACAAGGATTGGCACAGGACTGGTTCAGTTTCTGGTATATGTGAATGACTTGCTGGAGGATACATTCAGGTGCATCTCTTCAAGGATCATTTGAAACTGCCGACGGAAATATAAAAACGATTAGGACAACGAAATACTACACATGAATCTGGACAAACTATGGGATCGGTCAGAGAAGAAGCTACCGGAATTCACCTGCCTAGCAAATTGAAGGTTATGAAATTTTGGAAGGAGAAAGAAAAACAGAGGTTACCTGTCTTAATCAGGACCTAATAATGAGCATAGTACTGGACTTATCGTCAGTCTCTGTGTCTGTGTCTATCTCACACACACACAATCCTCTGCAGCAAATGTGTTTTCAAAATAAAACTATTATAATCATGGGGAAGTGCTAAACCCTCAAAATAAAAAAAATGCATTCCTAACTCAAATATGGTAAATTTCAGATCCATCTTAGAATACGAAGTATTATCCCATTCATGACAGAACACGTCAAGAAAATGAAAGAAGCACAAAACCCACTCGTGATAGAGCATGTCAAGAAACTGAAAAGTGCAGAAGTTTGCATAGTGACTTATCCCGGAATTAAGAGGACTGAACCTGGCGACATTAGTGACGAACCAGGGAACACACAACACACAAAATAATCAGAGCACTTGGAAAAAAGAACACTTCGCAGAAGACGCTTTTATTGAGACGAAGTTAACATTTTTATGAAGATCCTGCAAAGCGAATTTCTCCACCACTATTGTTGGCAGCTCAGAGAAGTTGAAAAAGTTCTCTAGAGAAAACGGTATTAATTGCTGGCTGGACCAACACACTAGCGACATTATAGTACCATTCAGAAACAAGTGGGACCACTTCTATGGTAGAAATGACGTGTATGCATAGGATGGGGTTCATTTATCTTAGAGCAGGAGTGGGAGCTATAGCCAAGGACGGATCTACTATGAAACTCAAAGCTTAAGCTTCAGGACCCCTATTCTTGGATGGGTCCTAGAAGCAACTTTAGTCCACATTGCTTAAAAATACTGAGTCTACTGTATGAGAAGAGGTTGTAAAGGGGCCCCCATAAAAGTTCAAGCTTCAGGGCCCCAAAAATGTAGGTCCGCTACTGGCCTCAGCTGGGGTTTACAGATATAGACTTCAAGAGGCTGGAAACGGGCACTCGAAGGCACATTTAGAAGTTGACGCCATATGAGCCAAAGGGATATCAGGAAGTATTTCTTCAGCCTGGGTTGGTCAGGAATCAGAATGACCGGGATGATGATGATGTAAGAACATAAGAACATAAGAACGAAGGAACACTGCAGAAGGCCTACTGGCCCATGCGAGGCAGGTCCAAGTCTCCTACCGGCTTAAGCCAATGCACCCAACCTAGTCAGGTCAGGTCACATTGACTTAAGGGAGGAACACGGCAACCGACCTGGTAGCACAAGCTATCAGGTCTAACTCACACCCACCCACATCTACTCATGTATTTATCCAACCTATTTTTAAAGCTACACAACGTTCTGGCCTCTATAACGGTACTTGGGAGTTTGTTCCACTCATCCACAACTCTATTGCCAAACCAGTACTTTCCTATATCCTTCCTGAATCTGATTTTTTCCAACTTGAAAACCATTGCTGCGAGTCCTGTCTAGACTAGATATTTTCAGCACACTATTTACATCCCCTTTATTTATTCCTGTCTTCCATTTATACACCTCAATCATATCCCCCTAATTCTACGTCTTTCTAGAGAGTGCAGTTTCAGGGCCCTTAGTCTATCCTCATAGGGAAGGTTTCTGATACATGGGATCAACTTTGTCATCCTCCTTTGTACATTTTCCAGAGAATTTATATCCATTCTGTAATACGGTGACCAAAACTGTGCAGCATAATCTAAATGAGGCCTAACCAAGGATGTATAGAGTTGAAGAAACAACCTGAGGACTCCTATTATTTTATGCTTCTTGATATGAAGCCAAGGATTCTATTAGCTTTATTGCGAACATTATGCACTGTTGTCTTGGTTTCAGGTTACTGCTAACCAGAACTCCTAAATCTTTTTCGCAATCCGTAATATTAAGATCTACATTATTTAGTTTATATGTGGCATGGTTATTGTCCTGTCCAACATTTAGAACTTTGCATTTGTCTATATTAAACTGCATCTGCCACTTCTCCGACCACTGCATCAGTCTATTCAAATCTTCCTGGAGTGCTCGAATGTCCTCGTCAGAATGAATTCGACGGCCTATTTTGGTGTCATCGGCAAACTTGCCGATGTCGCTCTTTATGCCCTCATCTATGTCGTTTATGTAGATTGTGAACAGCAGGTGGCCCAACACTGACCCCTGTGGAACACCGCTCGTGACGCTTCCCCACTCTGATTTCTCCCCATTTATGCAAACTCTCTGCTGCCTATTTGTCAACCATGCCTCTATCCAGGAAAAAATTTCTCCTCCTATTCCATGTGCTTTAATTTTCCTCAAAAGTCTCTGATGTGGGACCCTGTCAAAAGCCTTACTGAAGTCCATATACACTATCATATTCATTACCATGATCTACCTTCTCAAATACCTTAGTGAAAAAAGTTAATAAATTCGTAAGGCAGGAACGCCCCTTTGTAAAACCATGCTGAGATTCGTTGATTAATTTATGTTTTCAAGGTGGCTACGAACTGCCTCGGCAATTATTGATTCCATAAATTTTCCCACTATGGAGGTTAGGTTATTGGTCTATAGTTCGAAGCTAAGGACCTGTCACCTGTTTTGAAAATAGGTATCACATTTGCCATTTTCCACTTATCTGACACCATGCCAGTTTGTAGTGATATGTTGAAAAGATTAGCCAAAGGTGTGCTAAGCTCCTCTTTACATTCTTTAGAACCTTGCATACAGTTCATCAGGGCCTGGGGATTTGTTAGGTTTTAATTTATCTATTTGCCTAAGGACCATGTCACTTGTGACCCTAATAGTGCACAGTTTATTATCGTCCTGTTTTACATAATTTATCATTACTGGAATATCGCTGGTATCCTCCTGTGCAAAAACTGAGAGGAAGTATGTGTTAAAAATTCTACACATTTCCTTATCACTGTCAGTGAGCTGACCCGAGGAACTTTTGAGTGGGCCTATCTTGTCCCTGATCTTACTTCTGTATACCTGAAAGAATCCTTTTGGGTTAGTCTTCGATTCTCTTGCAACTTTAACCTCATAATCTCTTTTTGCTTTTCTAATTCCCTTTTTTATTTCTCTCTTTAACTGAATATATCGATTTCTTAATTGCCCTCCCTCTCTTTTGATTTCCCTATATATGCCTCTCTTGACCAATCA